TCTGTCATCTAGTTGGAATGCGGACTTGTTCGTGGTTTTACAAAACTAGGCAGAGGCTCTTCTAAGAGAGAGTTGTGTGGATGCAATCCTCCGCTTCCTGACCAGGCCTAAGTAAGTTGCCCAACGTGGGGCAACAGCAGCAGGAAGTGCTGGAAGGTGGGTGGGCAAACAAACCGGCTTTCCCTGGGGAGTCACATCTCCTCGGGGTGACCCTGTAGGCTTTCTAGGACTGAACTAATTCCTACCGGGCTGGTTCTGCTATTAGCGGGGTAGAAAAAACGTTTTGAAAAAAAATTGTGATCGAGGGTAATTGAAGGTGGTTTTGAACCTCCTGGAAAAAGTACTTCCGGAAATCTGTCTGTTCTTAAAGGCTGTCTGTCAGCTGCTGTGCTGTCGCTCAGAAAATCGTCTCATGGGGACAAACGCGGCGTGTTCTGTGCTGTAGGGAACACAGCCAACCCGGCCTCATTCCTCCCACTCAGGCCGAGCGCGGGGACAAGCCACTCGGGCTGCAGACACCTGGGGTCAGGCAGCCACACGGAGAACAGCTCCTTCAAGCTCCTCTCTTGCTCCTCGAGGCCTCCTGACGGCACTTTCCGCCTCTTCTCTTTGAGCATCTTTGCACACGCTCTCCCCATCTGTCCGCCTCCTCCTTCGCAGCATTCTGGGGCATGCACGTGGTCAAGGTCCCAGCATGACCCCAGGGCTGTATACTTCCGCTGTGCAGAGGTTTGAAGGAAAGGATGCGGGGGAGGTTCTGACTGCCAACATGAGTCGGAAGAAAGCAAGGCCCTTCCCTTCAAAGAGCAAGGCATGCAGAGGCCGCGAGCTATACTGACGCTCAGCACCGGGAACAGGAGCCCAGTGTCAAGGGCACAAGGAGGAGGGAAGCATGCAGTTTGCACTGAGGGTTGGAGAACGTGGCACCTGGCGGTGTCTGAGCGGAGCCCTGCAGAATAAGCAGGACTTCAGCAGGTTCAGAGAGGGGCAGACCACAGGCCCCTTTGTGTTTCTGAGGAACCCGCCCACCCTCATGGCTCTTACAACTTATTTTTAAACCATCTGCCATGGAACGCTAAGTTCCTGAAGGACAGGACCGTAAGGTATTATTCCTCGTTATCGTTAGACAGACATGAGCAGAGCAAGGACGATGGGCCAGATACAGAAACTCACCAGGGCAGAAAGCCCTGGGTGCCTGGCAAGGGGCGACACTGGGAAAACAGGACCCTCTCCCCCAGGGTAACCTATCCTCCCTGGCATATCACTGGTCCTGTGGCTTGGACCCCGGATCTTTCATATCCCTGGTCATGCGGTTTAGACCCCTGACCTTTTCCTCCCTAAAGATAACATCTAGGCCTCAGTTGTATTTCAGTTCCAGGCCCAGAAAAGCAGCAAAACCAGGCAAGTGATGCCATGGCTGCCTCAGGACCAGCTGCATTGATTAATGACCCTCTGTCCTGGCGCCAACCAATCAGTGGAGACCATGACCCTGAAAGAGCACACCTGGGAAGCTGATGAATATTCTATTAGACCCTCCCCTGAGACCTCCCTAAGACTGCCACCTGCAAGAGAGAGAGAAATATGCTCAAAACAGAAGACTCAGTTGCACTCTCTCTCCAAGGAGCATGCCCCTGCCATTCCCTTTCCCCTCTCCTTCCCCCACAGGCACCTATCCCCTAACCTCTAAGGGGCTCCACGAGACTTGCAACCATTGAAGCAATGGGCAGTGGCAGCTCATTCTGGGCTCACCCCCTGAGCCTGTCTCCAAGGCCCCCTTTTCCCTGACTTCTCAGTGAGCCAGCGAAGCCCCGCCTAGGCTCTCCTGTGGCTTCTTCTAGGCCCTTCCTGGTTTCACTGTCCTAAGTGTTTTTTGCTGCCATCATGGATCCAGTACTCTTTGGCGCAGTGCTGTGTAGCCCTTCCCTTTGGATTTCCCCATTCCCCATCCCAGTTTCTTTAAATAAATCCAATTTTCTTTAATCACCGTCTGAGATGGCGATTTAGCCGGCCCGCACTCCGCCGACTTTAACCTCTCAGTTATGTCCTCGTTTAGCACATGCCTAGGGCTCGGTGTTGTCACTCAGTGGGGTGGACAGAATAATGGTCCCTCAAGAGCAGTGGTGACAGGAGATGCAGAGAATTATTTCAAGACACTTGTCAGTTGACAGATGAAAGGCAAGGGTGGAGGTCGTGAAAAAGGGACACTTACTTCCCCAATACTTTCTAGCTTCTGTCTCTGCCCGTGACCTCTGTCCTTTAGACACATCTCACCTGCACCTCTCTGTTCCTGTATCTGGATCGTGTCACTTCCTTCCTCAAAAGCCTTCCTTGGCCCTCATCAGGTAAGCAAGATAAATGTATTCCAAGGAGCTCCTTCTTTCTTGAACTCTTAGAAGTTTTGACCAAAATCTGCTTCACGGAAAGTAGCTGGAAGGGACCTCAAAGGTCGTCTGATCAGAGGATTGTCAGTGGTTTCCCAAAATCTAAGCCACAGAATCCTTGTTCAGAAAAGACCCACAGTGTTATGTTAGAACCCAAAAATGTAAGGCCTACCTAGATAATACATGAAATACATGTTTTACTTCTTTACTCTCGTAAATACATTTATGGTAGCTTCTTGTAAAATCCATTTGTTAGAGCAACTGTGGCATGCAGAAGCACACAAACATTTGAAAAAGGAATTTATAAAAGGCAGATGCCATTTGATATCTAAATCTAGCCCTGGTCTATTTTCTTTCCGTTGGACAATATGAGCAAACGTTGTGATTCAGAAAGATAAACAGAGGGACATTTGCTTGTACCATGTTATCTGTGCAGATGGGCCCAGGCCTGAATTTCACAAAGACGAATACAGAACAAAACTCCTGACCCCTGAAACACAGGCAGGAAGTTGAAATGTATGCAGAGAAAGGGCTGGAGAAGCGTGGTTGGAAGGTCTCCTTCAAAGAAAGTTCCAGCACAAAGGTTGAACTCCGTGGAGGTCCTTTCGGTGCCTGTAATGTTTGAAGTGAGTGATGCTGGAATAAGTTGAAGTCTGTTGTGTGCACAGAGGCCAGAGGGGGCTCCCCAGGCTCAGGATGGAGCGGGGTCTTAGCACACTTCCCAGGTGGCCCTTTCTGGTCTGGAGACATCGTCTAACCATTTGAAGACAGTTAGGAGGAGGAGAGGCTCTCTCAGTGTCCTCTGTAAACTTCACTTCTGTGAAACCGGCATAGCGGTGGCCCTCGGTGGTGGCCCGAGAGCGTCCCTCTCAGCTTCAGTCACACCCGTCATCTCTCCAGAACAACGGCTGCGGCCGGTGGCCTGGCCGCTTTCTCATTTGTCGCCGCTTCCCTGGCTGCCTCTGTCCCAGGCTGGGCCGGTCTTGGCTGTGGCATTTCCCTTTTCTCATTTTCCTCCCCGTTAGGCAGGTTATATACATGGTCACCTCCCTGCCTCTTGGGCGTTTCCAGGTAAAGCTGCATCCCTGGTTTTATTAAGCTCCGTCGTGCTTTAAAACACCCCCTTGGTCACCGGAAGATCTTGTTTGAAACCCCTGGCGGGCTGGGGGCGGGAGGCGTGTTTGCCGTTAAATCAGTGACTTGGAAATTGGTTTTGATCTCCTCAAGCCCAGGACTCTCAGGTTGTGGTGACAAACCCCCCGTCCTCCATTTCTCTGGGGGGTTAGCAGGACCGCACTGTGGGTGAATAGAGAGGCAAAGTCTAATCCCAGATCAACAAGCATTTCCAGGAGGTTGGCTCTCTCACATTGAGGCCAGACATTCTTGTCAGGAGCAAAAGGAGAAGACAGTATCGCCCCTGGAAACGGCAATTACCTTAATGAACTTGCTTCACCCGCAGGATCGATGCCTTGTGTGGGGATTAATTAAGGCCTCAGCGGCTGCGTTTGAGTGAGACGGGGAATGAGAGGCCGTGGGCAGCGGCGCCTGGCCAAACACCAGTCCTGGGTTTAATGGGAATGTTCCACCTCATGGCTTTATTTATACCTGGTCCCCACTTCGGATCTTTTGTGCAAGCGGGCAGGATATGAATTAGAAATGAATGTGTAAATGAAACATTGGATCGAAATGGGACAAGTCACACTGGCAGGGAAAGCAGTGTAGTAGGATGTGATGAAAGCCCCAGCCTGTGTTTCAACTGCTCCTTGCTGCCGTCCTGGCCGGCGATCAGCCACAGAAGGGGGGCGGCTGTGTTCTGACCGACGCCCTCCTTGACCAGACCCGAGCCAGGCTCTGCTGAGCCCTCGTCTCGATTCCACTGTGTAAAGACTTGAACAGACACTGACATCGTTCCTAACAGCTCAGGGCCGCACCCGTAGGATGACCCTAGACCCCCTTCAGTGCCCACCTGAGGAAACCCCTGAAAATGGGGCCTGTCTCCCGGTCCGCGGGAGGGGAGGAGCTCACTTTGATGAGTGCCAGTTAGCAAACCCAGATGGGTTTCACGTGGACCAGCCCTCCTCACAGCTTTTTGCAATCTTCCTCTTCTGGGACTCACAGAGCCCCCCGCCCTCCCTCCCTGCTCCCTGTCCTCCCTGGGCCGGCCCCTGCGGGCTGGGAGAGGACAGCGGGGCTCTGGGAGGTGGAAGTGTGTGAGTCACGGCCCTCCGCGGGGCCCTCCATGTCTGTTAAGCCCCGCTTCCTCATGTTCTCTGCAACGACAACCCAGCATCGGAAATCAGACACTTGTGGCTGTGCGGCTTGACTGCTGTGTTAGCACTTGGATGCCTGGCAGGCCAGCGCTCTAGAAATAAGCCCTCCTATTTTTAACACCCTTGCCTAGTCGATGGTCTCTGGTTTCTGCCAGAGAAAACCCCAGGGCCCCGAGATGCACGCTGGAATTCAGAACGGTACGTCTCGTTGGTAAACAGGACCCCTCTCCCCACCTGTCCCCACGTGCGTCCCAGAGACCCCTTTCCCTTCTCCTCCAGGGTCCCTGCGGCCCCTGAGCTGCAGTCAGGGATCCTCGAGTTTTCTACGCAAGACACAGGAAAAAGCAAGTTTTCAAAGAACTTTTATTTCAAACCACAGTCAGAAAATACCCAGTTAAAGATGCTTCTCCGGCCTCAGAGAAGATGAGGTCGGGTTCAGCTCACCAAACACAGTGCGTCTTGTCGCCAAGGACCGAGGGGCTGGCTGCTTGCCCTGGAGGACACCCCGAGCTGGTAATGAGCACAGGGCGTCCCTGATAAGGCTCACAGGACAACGTGAGCCAGCCTATCAGACAGCTGGCGCCGTGGGGACGACTATGAGCTCCAGCGGGAGGTCGGGCCTTTGCAGACACCTGTGCACCTGCTGTACCCCCCTTCTTCCCACCGAGGGCAGGTCTGGATCGTGTCCACTTGCCGGATTCCCCAGGCGCCTGTCGCAGCCCAGAGAGGCGCCAGGGGAGGGGAAGCCGCTGCCGCAGTGTGGGTCAGGTGGGAACAGGAGAGATGTGATGCTCCCGCCTCCTTTCTAGAATGTTCTGGGCTGGGCTTCCTGGGGGGAAAGCCCTGAGAGTCGCTGGGACCCCAGGAGGGCTAGTGCTCGGGCTCCGAGTCCATGCAGGACTCCCAGGGGTTCTGGGGCATGCGAGGCAGGGAGAAGAGCAGCAGGGCCAGGCCGCCCAGGAAGAGGAGGACGAAGGCGGAGCAGGCGCAGGCGAAGGACCAGGAGTAATAGTACTCGATCCAGACCGTGTCCTCACTGTCGATCATGCGCTTCACCGACTGCCGCAGGACCTCCACCGAGACGAAGATGCAGAGACCTGAGGGCAGAGCGGGGACGCTCAGGGCCCCACCCGGCCTGTGCCCACCGTCGGCTGGGGCTTCCGCAGGGACAAGGGGGAGACCTGGCCCTGGGGGAGACTGTCTCGAGACTGGAGGTGCACGTGGGGACCTGCAAAGTGACCCGTCTGCCTGCCTGCCGCACGACTCGCTCAACCTCAGGGTAACTGCGTTTCTTTCCTTCTTGTGTTAGTATTTGTTTGGATTAATTTAAAATGTGTTAGTGACGGGCATTGCTCTCAGCGCTTGTGGATTAAATGGACAAATTGCCAACATCTCCCCAGACCCACCGAGGGTTGGTGAGTCCTGACCGAGTCTGCTCCTGTGTGGAACCCCGGGAATTTCTCCAGACTTACATCTCAAGGCTGGAGGGAGGATGGGGTGGCAGCAGCCCTCACCCCGGACATCGCCCCCCACCAGCCCGGGCTCACAGGCAAGTGCCCCCCCTCTACCTGCAAAGGCGTAGAACATGGAGGCCGGCCTCAGCAGGTAGTCCCGCTTCTTGGTGAAGGACAGGAGCACGCAGATGGTTCCCATGATGATGAAGACGAGGCTGAAGATGGCGATGGCGGCGGCCGAGATGCTGTACTCTGCAACACACACAGGGGCCGACGGCACCTCAGCTGTGGCCTCGTCCCGGCCTCGGGTCACCGCTGGCTGTGCCGCCAACCAGGTGAGTGACACCACCACGGGTTATGATTCCCATTGCACATGTGGGAAGACTGAGGCCCCGAGAGAAGAAATCACTCACGCTAACACACACACACACTCACACACCCCACACACTCAGTGGGAAGACTGAGGCCCCGAGAGAAGAAATCACTCACTCAAGTCACACACGAGTAGAGACTCAATTCTAACTCCCGGGTTGCACGAAACTGCAACCCCTCCCCCAACCTCCCCACCGGGCAGAGGACTGGGAAGGGGCAGGAGGCAGGTGGCTGGAGACCTTTCTGGAGCAGAAACTTCCTGAGTGACAGGCAGAAAGCAGCAGGCACTCAGCGGAGGGCAGTCTGTCCTGGACTGACAGCAGCCTCTGGAAGGTGGCTTGTTACAGAGCACAGGCATGTGTGTGTGTGTGTGTGTGTGTGTGTGTGTGTGGTGTAAGCTTTGCGTGGTGTGTGTGTGTGTGACAGGTGTAAGCTTTGCATGGTGTGTGTGTGTGACAGGTGTAAGATTTGCATGGTGTGTGTGTGTATGTGTGTGAGACAGGTGTAAGATTTGCATGGTGTGTGTATGTGTGTGTGTGACAGGTGTAAGATTTGCCAGAGTGTGTGTGTTAGTGTTGCACTGGCATATAAGGATCTACCAGAGTGAGTGTGTGCGCACGTGTGTGTGCATGTGTGTGTATGCCCACACCGTGTGCCGCCGTTCATACACGTGCAGGTGTGGGTCTGTACCCATGACAGAGGGGTGCATGCGAGCTCCATGGCTCCTAGAAGACCCCAGGGCACATGTGCTCGGGGCTCCTGGACTCTGATGTGTCTCCCCACGACCCCCTGCCCTCCTGATTCTTGGGGGTGATCGATGGCGTGGGAGGGAATCAGTTCCCCGCAGGCTCTGACCCGCCAGCCGGAAACCTGTCCCAGGGATGGTGAGCGCTTGTTCCATTGCCGGCTCCTGTCACAGGCACCGCGCCTTCACCGCCTCCGCCAGCCCCATGGACGGAGGCTGGGACACACCGAGGGTGGCAGGGCCCTTCTCACCAGGCGTGGGGAAGTCGGGCTTTTGCGCCAGATGATTTCCTGCCTCAGCGGTGTGACCGCAGTCACTTCTCCCTGCCCTCCCGGCTTGACGCCCTGGGCTCACCTTTCTGAGTGGTGAATTCAAAGATCTCTGAGCTCTCGCCTGGGTTGAAATGCCGGAAGTAGGAACAGTTTTTCTCTGCAAAGGAGGAGACAACCTGTGAGGTGAGGGAAAAGGGCCCGTAGCGGAGGCAGAGGCTGGGCTGAGAGAGGGTGGTGTGATCCCACCAGGGTGGGCGGAAGGAACCTCTGTGCTGGTGTCTTCTCCCCAAACCCTCACCCTGGGCTGAGACAAATACCTTCTCTGACCCTAAGACCAAAATGTCACCAGGTTAAGGGGGTTGCATAAGAGGCTGGGAGATCCTCGGGGTGCCAAGGCTGATTGAGTCAAAGGTACAGACAGCACTGTGGGGACTGAGCCCATTAGGCAGATGGGGTAACTGAGGCCCAGGACTCAAGTCATTTGTCAGGGGGGACAGGATACATGGTCAACAAAAGGCTGCACAGTGGTTCGTCCGATTATATCTGCCAGGGACCTTGGGCAATGTCTGGAGACATTTTTGCTGTTACAACTGGGCAGGGCTGCTAGTGGCATCTGGCGGGTAGAGGCCGGGATGCTGTTACACATCCCCATGCACAGAACAGCCTCTTGCATCATAGAATTCTCCAGCCCCAGAGTGCCAGTAGCGCTGAGGCATAATTTCTCTTCCGTTTTTCCTTTTCATCTCTCCTGTAACTAGACATACTATCAAATGAAAGGATAGTCCTATTGCATATTGAATACAGGTTAATATTATTTACTCTTGATTTAGGAAGTCGATGATTGGGTTATTTTATACTATCTTGTTTCTTTAAGAAAACTAAATCAAGTTGCTTTTTATTTGTGTGAGGCCCTTTATTGATTGCTTTTTCTTTATTGATTGTTTAGAGCCTCTGGTTTTGCATTCATTACATCTATTGCTGCCTCCTGCACATGCCCCGACCAGGGCCGGGGATTGAGCCTGCAACCAAGGAACATGCCCTTGACCAGAAATGACCCTGGGACCCTTCAGTCTGTGGGCAGAAGCTTTATCATTGAGCCAAACAGGCCAGGCTGTCTCTGCATTTTCACAAGGCCACTGACGGAGATGTGCCCGAGGTGCTGCCTTCATGTGGGTGCAGGCTTCCTTCTATCTGGCCCAAATCCTCTCATTGCCCCCGAAGCCTGTGGCCTCCCACTCCTCCCTCCTCCCCCACCTCAGGGTCACCGCTGCTCCCACGGTGGAGGAAGGAAATGGCCCCTGGAGACCAAGCCTGGCATAGTGAGCAGCAGTGAATGTTCCGAGAGGTAAACCGCCCTCTCTTTGAGCTTCTATATTTAAATCGCTTTCCTTTTTATCTGAGTTACCTGGGGTGTCTGACACCGGTAAGTGGTGATGTCAGAGTCGAGCTGCTCTTTTCTCTCTCACAGCTTCCAGGGCTGTTTTAGAACATAATGCAGCCCTCTTATACTTGTTAGATTGTTCGCTATAGATTGTCTCCAGTCACTGCTTCAAAATGGCTGTGCTGTGTCCTAAGTTACCACAGGCCTCTCTCTCGACAAAGGAACATTTCTGTTTCATTCTATAAGGGCCAATTTCAGTCGTCATTGAAAACCCTCTGAAAAGAATTGATTGAATTCAAGTGTATTTCACAGTCAGCTGCTTCTGTGACTACTCGCCATCCTCCAGTTAAAGGCGTTTGGAGCAGGGAGAGGGCGGGGCCGGGGGAGGGGGCATGGGATGAAGGCCCAGCTATGGGCGGTTCTGGGGTGCTGAGGCTACTCTCGCGCAGGGCGTGTTCGGGTTGTCAACCCCAGGAGATAGACACCAGGACCCATTCTGGACAAACGGCTGCTGCCACTAGGCACTTGCTCAAAAGCTTTCTTAGCTCAGACACGGGGGGAGCAGCATGTCTGGGAAGCCAGCCTGTGGATTCTGGGGGTTGGGGGGACTTTCCCCTCAGTGGCCCAGGCGCGGTGTTCCTGTCCCTCCCCTCCCCAATTATATGCTCTCACACATGGCGAGGGGCACCCAGTGGGCAGGGCTCCCACTGAGGGCATCTGGAAGTCTCAGCTTCTCTCTAACGTGGCTGAACTTAGGGCTTGAGGACAGACAGGCCAACCCTGTCCCCTCTCTTGGACTTAGCATGTGAGGAAGGCCTGGGAGGGGCATCCGCTCGGGGCCCCATGGCTGCCCACTGGAGACCAACCGCAGGCTCCTCTGTGGGCCCTGATGGCCCCAGCACGGGTGGGGTATGTCAGACCCAGTGCTCAGTCTGGACACTTCCGGCAGCAACAAGATGCTCAGTTAGGACCAATCAAGCCAGGCCTCTGCCACTGTTGCTCAAGACTTGCCCAGCATCCTGCCATGGTCATTGTGTGAATTCGGTCAAATGACTCAACTTCTCTGTGCCTCGTTTTCCTTATCTGTAAGATGGGATGATGATAATAGTATGGACCCCATAGAGGATTTTGTGAGAATTAGATGAGTTAATATATATGCCATCCCACTGCCTCTGGCCTTCATGGTTTTAGGGGGAAAAGTAGCTGCTTTTCTTAGTTAGAATTTCTTGTATGTGATGACTCAATTGTTGCTCTCACAAGAGTCTGTCTTTATTTTTCGACTTATCTACCTTTTGATTATGATGTGTCCAGATTTTGATCTATCCTACTTGGAATTCATTAAGCTTCATGGGTTTCTAGATTAATGTTTTCCATCAGATTTGGAAAAATGTTGACCATTATTTTTCATATGGACTCCCTGCTCCTCTCTCCTTCTTCTGGGAGTACCATTAGGTGTATATTGATACATTTCATTCTGTCCCACAGGCTCTGTTCATTTTTCTTCATTATTTCTCCTGTCTGTTTCTCAGACTAGCTAATCTCAGTTGACCTATCTTTAATGTCATGGATTTGTTCCTCTACCTGCTCAGCTCTGCTATTAAACTCCTCTGGTGAATTTTTTCATTTCAGTTATTGTACTTCTCAACTCTAGAATTTCTATTAGACCCTTTTAAAATAATTTTTATCTTTATTCTCTACTTCATGAGACATCATTCTTACCTTAGCACACGAGGAAGGCCAGTGGTTTCTTCTAATTCCTTGAATATATCTAAAACAAGTGACTTAAAGTCTTGGTCTAGTAAGTCCAGTATCTGGGCTTCCTTAAGAATCTATTATTGACATTACTATTGTATAGGCCATGCATTTTTAGTTCTTTGCATGTCTTGAAATTTTTTAAAATTTAAATTTAAAACTGGAAAATTTAAACAATATAATGTAGCAACTCTAGAAATCAGATTCTAACCTTACCCAAGGATTGTTCCTGTTGCTGTTTATTATTGTTGTTTATTCAGTGACTTTCTGAATTAATTTTGTAAAGTCTATATTCTTTGTCATGTGTGGCCACTGAAACCTCTGCTCAGTTAGTTTGGTGGTCAGCTCACGGAGATTTCCTAAAATTACTGGAACGAATACATCTCCCAGTATTTACTGAGGGGCTCTGTGCTTGGCGGAGTGTGAAGCACTCCACTAAGCAGTGTACATTTCCAGAGTTCTGAAAAAGTTTATTCTGATCATTTTTGCCAATGTTCACATTGTTTTTATGGAGAGGAGGACTTTTGGAGGTTCTTACTCTGTCATTTTTTTTTCTGATGTCATCCAAAGTTAATATGTAAAACACTTAAGACAATGTCTGGCAGGTAGTCCTCTATTTGTGTTTGCAGTTCTTATTATTACTGTTATTAATAATACATAAGGACATTGTATGCCCTAGCCGGTTTGGCTCAGTGGATAGAGCGTGGGCCTGAGGACCGAAGGGTCCTGGGTTTGATTCTGGTCAAGGGCACGTACCTCGGTTGCAGGCTCCTCCTCGGCTTGGGCCCTGGTTGGGGCGTGTGCAGGTGGCAACCAACCGATGTGTTTCTCTCACATCGATATTTCTCTCTGTCTTTCCCTCTCTCTTCTACTCTCTCTAAAAAATCAATGAAAAAATATCCTTCTTGGGTGAGATAAAAAAAGGAACATGTATGAACTCTGTCCATCTTTACAGAAAAGAGTGGTCCTGTAATGCACAGGCGGGGGAGGAGGGGTGGTGAGGAAGAGGAAGGAAAAGATGTTCACGTGCAGAGAAAGGAGAGAGAGGAAGTCAGGAACACCCAGCAGCAGCCTGTTGGGAGTAAGGCTGTGCTCACAAGTATGATTCACTCAGGATCAGAGTGAGAAGGCACTGAGATAGACTGATCAGGTTCAAGGCCAAGCCGTGCCTGCTGGTCCCCAGTGGCTGGCTCAGCCACCTGCTGCCAGCCTGTCTCCCTTGTATAGACTCAGCTCACCGCCCTGCTCCTCTGCTCTGCGAACTCACCAGACTTTAAAAGGCAGATGCCTCCCAGCACAGGTGGGCAGGACCATCCCAGTGCGTTTCTGGAGAAGCTGCCCTGCCCTGCCCTGCCCTGCCCTGCCCAGGGGAGTTGGCTGGATGATGCATCTGTTTACGGGCGTGCTCAGCAGTGGCCGAGGGGCATGGGCATCTGGGCGATGTGATACCCGTGAAGCACATGCTCATGCCATTTAAAGCCCTCGGCCCGGGGACTCGGTGTTTCCGAGACAGCTGGGTATTTATGAATCTTCCGAGTGTCCAGTGGGAATGAGCAAGGCGGGAGCCAGCGGGCAGGGAAGGAAGAAGAAAGAGGGGAGAGGGAGGAACAAGGTTTGGGCTCCTCTGTCCTCCCCCACACATACTGCAAGGTTTTGGGGGACTTGGCATTGGCTCCCTTGAAGGGGCGGTTTCAGTGAACACCCAGTCCGATAACAGAATAATTCTGAACGCCAAGTGGGATGCCGCCCTCAGCCTGGTCCACCGCCGCCTTGGAGTGACATTTGTCAGCACTGGAAGGGACTCTGCGTTGCTGAGCCCAAGCACCAGGGGAGGAAGCAGAGGCTGTGATGGGCTTTGTCCCCCCCCCCCAAATGCCATGTTGGGGGTCACGGGTAATGTGTGATTAGAGCGGGCTCTTTCCTGAGCTTGTACTCTATTTACTAGGGTCGCAGAGGGCTGTACGACTGCAGGGAGGCTAGTCATCCCGGCCCCGGGGGTTCTATACAGGGAGCTCCCCTCGCTGTGGTGCACAGCCTCATGCAATTCAGACCCCCTCTCCCAGGCACAGGGGGCTGTACTGAGCCACTTTTCCGGAAGGAACAAAGAAGGACAGGAGGCGGGGATGGGGACAGTGTGGGTACGTTACCCCCAGGCAGGGTGATGGGTCCGCAGCTCTTGTCCTTGCTGCCGCTCACGATGATACTCTTGGTGCAAATCCGCCAGAGGCCGAAGTGGGCTGCCTCGCAGACGGCGCTGTGGTGCTCCACCTGGGGGCTCAGCACGGCCCAGTGGTCGGTCACCACGGCCACCGTGGCCAGCACGATGCCCACCAGGATGCAGAAGAGCGTCAGGCGGACCTTCAGCGTTCTGGTCTGGGACATGGTGGTCGCGAAGGAGTGGGTGCTCTGGGCAGGGTCGGGTGGCCGTGTCTCCCCAGGCAGGTGGCGGCCGGGCTGGGGTGGTGGCGGCAATTATGGTGCAGAGGGGCGAGGCTAAGTTTAGTGTGCTGGCCGGGCCAGAGGGGGCTGGCCTTGGGGCTGAGGGCCACTTGACAGGGCTGAGCAGCTGCCCACACGTGACAGGGGCCTGAGGGAGGCTTCTATTAATGCACATGCACAGGCGCGTCACCGTCACCGAGGATGACTTCGTCTCAGGTTTCAGGGCTTTCTTGCCCTCTTGGAGCCAGAAATACCCCAGGGAGGGGTGGGGGGGAGGCGCTAGCTGGTGACTGGAGACCTGTCGGAGCACCTGCTCGGGATGCCTGACGTGAGCGAGGACGAGGGACACTGTGCAGCTGAAGGTCACTGCTGGGCAAGGACTGAGACCCTATGGCTCAGGGGGCTCAACCTTCCGTCCTCACACTGGGCAGCTCTGTTACCGGAGTGGGGCGAGTGGGTCCTCGTCCTGGAAGTCTGGGGGACCCAGGGTCACGCCTAGAGACAGCGTGGGGATCCCCTGCCCGGGCTTCCGGATCCCACGACCCAGGCAAGAGCTTTAGCCCTAAGCCCCACGACATCCCCAAACTACAGGGAGCGAAAGTGGCTCCTGGGCCAGCGGAGACCCGACACTGCCCAGCGTGGGAACATTGTTTTCTATTCAATTCTCCCATCCTCCCAGCTGGGTCCAGAAGAAAAACAAAAAACAACCGTCTGGGGCAAGTCTGTAACACCTTTCCGATCCTCACATGTCGAAGAAAGGCCCTCAGAGGATAGAGCATCGGCTGTTTTTGTTGTAATGGTTTAGTATGACCTCTAGGAATGGCAGGGGATACAGGTTTTCCAGTTATGTTTATATTCACAAAACAACTCTATGTAAGTCAAAAAGAACAGAAGTAAGCTGATTTACAGGTGACTACTAAGAGGCTAATGGTGGGTGGATAGAGCAGAAAACTTGTGAAAGTTTGGGGCCAGCTTCTGAGAGGCCTGCCTGCCCACATCCCCCCCAAACCCCCGCTAGCCGGTCTCCAGGCCCCAACACACCTCCTGGGGTCTGTCTCCTCTTCCTCAGGTCACCAGGTGGCTCGCTCTGGGTGTAGCTGAGGCTGATGCACGGCCAGGAGTAGACCCCTGAGCTGGGCAGGGCTTTGAGCTGCGAGATCCTGGCCTCAGGGTGACCGTGCTTAACGGAAAGATGGTCTGTGTGCGGAGAAACACGCGGGGCCCGGCCTTGGGCTCACAGACCACTGATCACAGTGACGGTTGTAACAAGAGCGGGTCCTCCGTGAGAGCTTACCATATCCCAGGCGCTCTGCTGAGCTAATTTTCACACCTTCCCTCGGTGAGGGGGCAGGTCTGTGCCCAGCAGGGTCCTGAGTCCGCCAACCCAACCAACAAATGCATTAAAGAGATGGATGGTTCTTCCTTTCCAAGTAGTCTGTGTGTAAACCTAGCACGAGGCTGGCAGCACCAGGGACTGCGGGCAAGTCTATTCTTCCCGTTCAATAAAGGTCCTTTAAACAGAACCTCCCACTGCCAGGCTGCCTGCTCGCCCCCCCTCCCCCCAAACCCTCCGCTCCAGGGCCTTGTTGGGCCAAGAAGGGTGCCCCATGGATGCCGGCATTTGCTGGGAGCTGGGGCTGGACACTGTCAGCATCCTCCAACATCAAGCATGTCGAACTCGCGGCCCGCGGGCTGCATACAGCCCACAACGAGTATTTTTGCGGCCCAGCCAATATAGCGGTGTGAGCAGTTATTTACAATTATGAAAGGAAATGTCTCCTGTCAGATCCAGAATTACTGACGTTCACCTTGGGTCAGTTTTGAAAGTAATCACTGCAAACAAGATTTTCCCCGAAGTAGGAAAGATAGTAGCAGAGAAGAGATGCCAAGTGTCAGGAAGAAAACATTAATTTTATCATTGCTCTTGTTCTTTTTTTT